TCTTTAGGGACATTGTTTATCTCCAATCACACGTTCTCAAAAATATCTAGGATTGTTCCGCTGTAGCCTGATCCTTGGCAGTTAGAACCAGCTCTGTAAGTGCTGAAAAGCTTTTTATGCTGCTTGTTTCCAGTCCCATCTTTCGTATCTGAAAAGACACAGAACATATGTTAATTTTCTTTAAAACATCAAAAGCTCACTAATTATTCTACTTAAAACATTTATCAAAACACATGATTTGTCCTGCATTGATACGTGGCAAAACCCCACAACTGCATATAGTGCATGCTACAAAAAAATATTTGCAGCCAGCTTTGCTCACTTAAGTCTTTGCAGTTAATGTAGTGTCTTGCAGGGAAGTATTTAACCATCATCTAGGCAGATTGTAACTAAAGCCAGCTGGAAGCTGTCCAGTGAAACAGTCAGAAAGAGAGACTTGGCTGTTAGCTTGTTTTTAATGCATTGATTTCAACCAAATTTTTTTCAAAACTCAGATGAAGTTTCTGGGCAAAATCTTAAAGATAAACATGAACAAATCCAAGAATAGCCAACAACATGGTGATGAAAGCTGCAAGAGCCTATGGTTCTAGCCTTCTGCTCCCTGGGGGATGAAAACAGCTCTACAAATAGAGAGGTTGCTGCAAGTCGTTCCTTACCCAGGAAATCTATTGCTCTGACAATTAGAAAAATATGGCCATGAGAAAACTAAGCATGCATTGAAAAAGGAAAACCTGGATCCATAACAAAACCATAATGAAATGATTCTGAAAAAGGTGCTTGCTGTTGGAACTCTTTGGAATGTTCACATGTATCAAAACAGCTCCTAAATGATTATTAATAATCTACCCCAGTTCAGCTTAAATTCACTTTGCAGTGATGTTAGTGCACATAATGGGAATAAAAGAGCAAAAGCCCAAACCCAGCCAAAACTTGCCAAATAGTAAGTAAGATTTCCACACTTCCACCTAAATCTCCGTTCTCTAAGTCCCAAATATATGAAAAGGATCTGCTTGCACACAGGCAAACTTTATCTACCTGTTGTAATATATCAACAAAATCTGCTCACAAACAAGAACAATGGCAACTGCTTGGCAACTAATGATACAGACTTGCACTTGGAATGTTGTTTATTTCTGTATATAATTCTCAGAAATAAATTACTACAAAACAGTATGCTTATACAATTTCATGTAGCTACCGCACACATTTCCTGGAATAGTTTCTTCTTTTATTTATTTTGTTATTTAAGGTTTCATATGTGGCACTGAAAGCAACTTACAGTTACTCAGAACAACAAATAAGGCTAACATCTTTAAGCTCTTGGGAATAGGCCCTTTACTATGCAATAAATCAAGGCTGGAAATATCCAGAGAGAAGGCAAACAAAAGCAGGGCCATAAAGATGTTTCAGTCAGAGCTAAGGAAGGTCCCTGCCCTCCGATCTGTCCACACAGTGTTTTTTACTTCGTGCTTCCAAGCACTAAGTAGCACACAGTATGGAACACAAGGTTTGCATTTGAATAAGAAAGGACAGGAAAGCATGCATTGCTCAAGCAGTATCTACAGTCACCAAGGTCTCAAGTCACTTGCATTATACAGATGTGAAAAAAGAAAGCAACCCCCCCAAATCACAATTACAAAGCTTTCAAGACCAAAAAACTAAGTCAAGCTTCTCTTCCCTCTCTCACTCCCTTCCAAAACCAGTAATAATAATAAATAAACTTGTTTCTCATTACTTACTTGCTCTCCATAATATTCAACATCTAGGGCCAGCTGCAGTCGGATTTTGTTGTCATCACTCATGCCCCCATTTGTACCAACAGGGTTTGAAGTCGTAGTTCTTCTGGCTTGTTTCAACCTTTTTAGGCTCTCTTCCATTTTCTTAACAGAACTTAGCACATCAGATACAGTATCGTAATACCTAAATTAAGGAAGATGAATGAGAAAGAAAAAAAATACACGTTTACAGAAAAGCCTACTTCATACCCATCACTGGCCCTGAGAAATCATATACATTTCAAAAGTCAAAAGAAAGTAGAACTCAGGTGTCTTGAAAATTCGCCCATTGTTCCCTGAAAATAACATGAGTTTAAGTCTTGCATCAATTCTGAAACAAAATGCAAGTTTTTAGTTCACTGTTGCATTACTAGAGCTAAACAATTTTTCAAATGCCCTATCCACAGCTCTGAGCAGAAGTCAGGTATCTGTCCCACTTTTCATCTGCTGAATACACAACACCAGAGTATATATGAAGAAATAAATACACCCTGCCAAGAGAGGGGTACATTCTTGTTTTCTTCACAGTTAATTCATAATGGTTTGGGTGTTTTTCCCATGCCCATTCAATGAACACTGGAGTTTTTAATTAATGCAAACAATCTTCTGTATGGTTCCTCTTACTTTTGTGTGCTTTCAGAGAGGGCACCTTCCAGCCATTGATGAATCATGGGCTGCTTCAATGTACCTTTGTATTCATTCTGCAGCCGGTAGAAGGGCTTAAGAGCACTGTCAACATAAGGTGAAGCCTTAGTTGGCACCTCCTGGTAGATGAAAGCGAAACAAGGTGGGGAAAAAGAACCAATAATTTACTTACTGAAAGTATCAACACCAAATTCTAGCACATATATAAAATGCTAAGCCTGTACCTAAGCAAAGAGATATGCACTTCATTCACAACACATTAATGAAGAGGTCATCACACATAGGAAAGACATCATCATAAAATCATTATCTCAACATTACTTATTTAGTTTTTCAACAAATTACTCTTTTTAGCTATTCTCATCTTGTTCTTTTTCTGCAAGATACTTCTTGAATCAGATACGAGCAGCTAGCTCACTGGGAAGAAGTTTCTTGACATAGCAGACAGAAGCATCATCCTTCCAAAAGAAGCCTACCACTCAGCAACACTGCATCTTACGGTACATGCTATGACATGAGGAAACATATCTACTCTCATTAACCCTTTTTCTGTTGCACATCAACAGTTCTACTCCTTGCCCTTCCTTCACTGTTACCCTACCTAAAATTTTGAAAATACCATTTTTTTTTTCCTTTGCCATGAGGTAAAATAGAAAGTCACTAAATTATCTCAAGGTATTTAATAGGGCTCTTGACTGTCAAGCAGGTATGGACAGGCCTGAAGAACTCATAAATGTACTGCCTGGTTAACATTCTTAGCATCGGCCCTTCTGAGGCTTTTTTCTGCCTGCAGCCAGCACTGACCTTATTGGTTCTCCTATATAATCTTGGAACTTCCAGTGCACTCTTCAGGTAAGCAAAGGAGGACTCACTGAGATCCTGGATAATCCTGTTATTCAAGGTCGGCACACAGGCTGATAAAGAAGTCTTTGAGTCTTCCAAGGCTCCTATTGAAGCAAAAATGCTAAAGTTTAAACTGAGCTACCCTGCCCGATCACAACATAAATTATGTGAACCCCACTATCATCCCAATTGCACTCACTATCCTAGATAGTTGCTGGTGTCAAATACAGAATGCTTCCTAAATAAATACACACCAGCCATTTACAAAATATCAACCATTCACTAGTCAGAAAATCAGACTGAGGAAAGGAAAAAGTAACATTGTCCAGGCTCACCATTTTTTCTTCAGTATCAATGCAGCAAGGAGCTTGAATCAAAAGGCTCCAACCTACCACAGAAACTATGGTTGTGAAATTCTTGCTCAGAGTATTCAAATTTCCTATGGAATTACTGCAGCATACTCAAAGTTGTGATGGACAACAGACCATCTACTGAGTGGGGGACATGCACAAGCTCCTACCTCTCTTACGGACATCTACCAATAATCCCGATTTAGAGATTTAAGTGGAATTCACAGCACAGAACTTCTGGCTTTATTTGAAGACAGGCAACAGTTCACTCAATCAGCTACATGCTTGGCTTTAATTACTGAATGAAATCAGGCTGCATGTTTCATATAAAAAAAAAAAAAAGGCACTTCAAACTCACTCAATTTTAACCAAACATTTTCCAGACTCAACATGTCAGTTCAAGATCATAGAATCATAAGACAGTTTGGGTTGGAAGGGACCTTAAAGACCACCTAGTCCCATCGCCTCTGCCACGGCAGGGACACCTTCCACTAGAGGAGGTTACTCAAAATCCCATCCAACCTCGCCTGGCAAGAAAGTTTCTATTTAACAAGTTAAACCTAAAGCATGCTTCTTTAAGTAATAAAACAATTAGTGTTCTCAATTTTTTCACTGTAAATTATGACACTGTGTGTAAAAGCTGATACTGTTTGGTTGGCAGAGTGGATCTGGGAGAAAGGGGAAGGAGACTGAATTCAGCCTCTCAGCTTTACCTGCAATACAGGACATATTCTTGAAGCCAATCATTTCAAGTTTTGGTTTAATCATTTCTAAGATGTCAGGAATCTGAACAAAAACAAAACAAAAACCAAATAGATACAGTCATGTTATAAACATTTTCATTACTTTTCCTACATTCCATGTTTCCAGTGCATCAAAAGACACCTTCTTTTCCGTATTTTTACCGCATTTATGGGAAACTAGGACTAGAAGAATACTTCACAAATTACAGAAATTTCAGCCTTATTGACCAAAAATACACACAAGTCATTCCTACTGGAAGTAAAATTAATGCCATACATCTGTCTTCAAGATTCTGGACCATTAGTAAAGTATAATCATGATGATAAAACTTTTTTTCAACCTCAAAGATTAAAACCTGTAAACATTTAAAAGAGAATATAATATTAAAGCTGAATATTGCACCACACTCCAAGTTGCAACAGAGATTTTACTAGTAAAGGTGAGACTCTGGCACAGTGACACTTTCCACCAAAAATGACCAGAACCATACTATTTTAGGTGTTAAGTCCAGCAGCTACTGATAAAAAGAGTTTAAATACCTGAAGTAATTTCTCCGTAATCTGCTATTCCAAATAAATACAGAGTAGACCATTTATTTCAGGTGATATTTTCTACGTTAGACAACTCCAGCTCTGGCATTTAAGATTAAAAAAACGCTTATAGGACAATATTTTAAACTATTTCATGTTCTTAACAAGATGCTAAACAATAACAACACAGAGATCAACGAAGACTCTTTAGTAAGTAAAGTCACAAGCACAAACCTGATCCTGGAGTTTGTCCAGATCTGCAGCAACATATACCAGCTGAGTACTAGATATAGAAGGCAGTGGTTGACTTTCTGGAGAAGACCCATTCCCTTGGTCCTCACTAAGGTTGAGGCTTACAGAAGATTCCTTCCTACCAGCTGGCACAGATTTTTTGCTTTCCTTCTCACTGGAAATAGGCCTTACAGAAACCTGAAACATCAAACTGAGATGTGAACCCTAGCAATAGTGAAGGCAGTTAAAGTTGGACAAAGAGAAACAGTAAAGGATGTGTAAGTTCTAAGCATGAGAATGGCACACTTACAAAGGATATTAGCATTCCTAAATTATCTTAAAAAAAGAGTTATTTTGAAAACAGTTTTTGGTGCACTATGGAGTTGGATGATTTTGAGCAAATTTGTCAAACACATGCTTCATTCAACTACTCTGTTTTAACTCTGGTACTTATCAGTACTTCTTATGAGCCCATTTAGCTGAGAGAAGTGAGTAACAAGAAATGGATAAAGGAAGATCTCACTGCTGTCTTCAGCTACCTAAGAGGCATGTATAGAGAAGATGGACTCAAACTTTGGACATACTCAAAATTCTACTTGAAAAGGCTTGATCTGCATAACCTTATTTAAACAGCCCTGTTTTGAGCAGGACTTGGTACCAGATGACCTCCAGTAGTCCCTTTAAATCACAATTATTCTATCGTACTGTCTTTCTATGACACAAGAAACAAGGCAACCTTGTATGGCTGAAAGCAGGATTAGAAGAGCAAAGCACAACCTTTCCTGCTCAGAAGCAGGGAATCACTGATGTTGAGTCAGTTGCCCATGAAACTTACGGTTTTTTAGTCTCAACACTGAGGAATTGATCTAGATTAACTTAGCCCTTTTTATTTGCAGGGCTAAGTTTTCACCTGGCTCAGTTTCACAAGCTCTTCATTGTATCAATGAGTGAACACACAAGAAGAACAAAACCAAGATAGTGGCTACTTTTTTCAGTGGCAAAGGCAGCCTCAAGCACACATGGAAGTATAGCCTTGGCAACCATCAGTCAGTAACATCGCAGCAGCACTCACATTTGTGGTTAATAACATATTTTGCAGTGACACTTTATATATAATAACTGGCTGAAAGTGTTCTTATTGAAGAATGTTAAGTTCTGGAAAAAAGCACTTAAAAGGAGGTCACATACTTTGTTTCAAAAGGTCTCTTGTTGATGGACATACCCAATCACCAAAAGCATAAGCATGCAGTTCTCTTACCTCACCAATGAACACAGAGTAGCGTGCCAAAATCTGCAGACTAAGTTTCCACAGGCGGTGTGCTAATAACGGTAAAAACATTTGATCTGACCAGCACTTCAGAAGACTCGTCCAGACCATGTGAGTGGCCAAAAGACAGTATGAGCTGCCATCTAGAAACAATCACACAAGGATCAAGTTCCTAAGCACATTTTTAAAAGATGTAAAATCAGCTCAATTGTATTACCTGAGATTTAAAAAAAACTAAGGTAAAAAAAGATCCTTACAAAAAGACACAAAGACAGCAAAGAGGATTCATTAAGCACTGTCTGAAACAGATTCTTAAAATATTAGCTCCTCATTACTTTACATTTCAAATTCCACTAAGTTTTGCTGTTGCAAAAGCAACAAATGAGAATTTGCCCACAACAAAGGCAGGAACAGCTTAGCCAAATAATCTACTTCAGAAGGTAACAATCCTAAGATAATTTTTGGCTGTCCTATGAAGAAGTTATATTAGAAATGCTTTCCAGTCATAACAGTAATACTCCTTTAGCACTAAACTACTGCTCCTGTCACAGTTATATCTGAGATATCTGCTAGAAATATTTACTTAACACACAGTAGGAATATCCATATTTAAACCAAATACTTTTAAAGCAGTTCATACACTAACATTTCATGGCATACAATTAGAGACCTAATGAATGTGTCTGCAAGCTCCATGTAAACACCTTGACACAGTAGGATTTATGCATTTCACCTCCATTAGGATTTTTTCTCTTCAGAGAGCATGTGTGTGTATACACACAAATACATTTATATGACTCTTAGCTGACTTCTTCATAAGTATTTACTCTGTTAACTGAAGTAAGCTTTTCTGATTACAGTATACTTCTAATGAATATATCATATTTTCTCCTCCACTGTAGTCCTTCCTGTGCATCTGCTCATAGATCAATGTATGTTTTTGGAGCAGACACCAATATGAGAAATCAGAGCAAGCCTATACGTTGCTTATATGCTGCCAAAGACAGCGAGTTTCACCTCTACATAGTCTTAAAACAATAAAGAAAAATATTCCCCAGTAACATAGCATAGGCTTTTGGTTATCACTTAGAGGATGCTAAATGCCAATTTACTTCCTTCTTGCACTGAGAGGATAGTTACACAACTATGTTAGCGGCTGCTGCCAAAAGGGGTATTTTTAGGAAGTGATCACAAAGTGAACAACACTCTCATATTGCCTTATCTATAAAAATGGAACAGTTCTCTATGAACTGTTTAATAAGTTCATCAGAAAAAAGAAGGCGCACGTGAATCCACTGGATGCATGTTACTACTCAATACTCAATCAACAGACAGTAGCCACTGCTACTTATATTATAATTTCCTTTGCAATAGAGAAACTATTATTGCAAGTTTACCTGGTGCTTCCTCTAGTGTATCTGAAAGTGCTTCTTCTAAGGCCCCTGCTATTTCTCTGAATCTGAGAGACACAAAGATTTTGAATATTACAATTTAACAATTGCTTAAACTGATGCCTAAACATTTTTTCAATGTTTATTTCAGTATTATTTCAATGTGCTATCAATGTACAGATTTTATATCTGCAATTATTTTTGCCTGGCATAAATTGGGATATAAATGAGACCAACATTCAAACACTTGAAAATGAACCTTCAACTTTTCACAGGCAGATACGAAGCTGATACTTTGCGAAATTTTCAAGGTCAGAATTGCAAACATTAACAAAATGATAGCTCACAGTGTGTCAAATCTTCAGCTTTTCTAAGAAGTGAAGGGTTTTTTTGTTGTGTTACTGTTTTTAAACTAAAAGTGAACAAATTATCTCACACTTGCTTTAGTTGACCTTCAGCTATGCCCCATGACACCGGAGGCTTCAGCTTTCTACATGTTTGTTAATGAAGAGTGGCATAAGGTTCTGCAAACAATTCTGTACCTGGTAAAAATCAATAGTTCCTCACAGGATACCTTGACCCCCTTTGTAAAAAATTCACCCTTCAAAATAGTAAAGAAATGAAATCCTGCCTCCCCAGTTTTTTTAGTATAACAGCAAAGTTAATATTGAAACCTTTGACACTTTCCCATAGTTCCAGCATATTGGATAAACAGCACAGCATTTCCATGGTCTAAAAACTGTCAGGCAAGAGCTGCAGGAAATTCTTCTTTAACCAGTTTTTCCCTCTAAATGCTGAAAAAAAAGCTATCATTTTAACTCCTCTATAGAAAGCTCTGTTGTCATTGATTACCCCTTTCTTGCTTTTATGTGCATCATGTAACTACATAAGCGTTCCTATCAAACTTCCTACTAACCTGTAGGGTTCCTCTTAACTCACATTTCCAAATGAGAACAGGGGCCCACCTAGTTTTTCTTATTCAAACTTCCAATGCATGTTTAGTAACTAAACTTATTTTAGAAATAGTCGTGAAATGGCTTCAAAATCTCATTCCTGCCTATGCACCACTTCCACCAACAGAGCAGTGTCTAAGTCTTACGGTGAAAAGGATTGAGAATGGAATTGTATTTTTAACAACATAATTTTTGCTGAATGTTTCTTAGATAGGAAAAAAAACTCCCCAATGTGGAGTTCACTACAGTTCCACACTCAGTTGTACTGACATAATTTAAAGAATGGCTGAAAGAGTTACTGGGGCTGTTTGAGCCAGCACTGCTACGGAAGTAATTCCTGTACATCTATCTGTTCCTCACAGAATCATTTATAAAGGCTTTAGTGAGGGCTGATTGTTATGTGTAATTTCTGTAACTGAATAAAGAAAAAACACAGAAAAAAAAAGAAAAAACTCATCTGTCTTAACCATAAATGGCGTAGTGTGAGATAACAAAATCATAGAATGGTTTGGGTTGCAAGAGACCTTAAAGATTATCTCATTCCAAACCCCTGCCACGGGCAGGGAATAATACTTAAATAGAAATCCTGTATGACTTAAGGATATTAACATACATTAAAGAAAAAGCTTCCTTGAGATATATATATAATGAATATGTTGCATTATTTTCACAGTTGTGCACTGAAAAATTCATGGGTACTTCTTAAAATTAGCTGATTATTCCAGTATATAGGAATAACTGGTGAAAGATAAACCAGCTGCTGTTATCCAATCATTTATTGAAATAGTGAATTATTTAGATTTACAGTAATCCTGGATTAAAGAAAAATTATTTTTTTTTAAAATTTTATCAGTCAAAGCTCAAAATACCTAATGGGAAAGAACATTTTTGAACAGAAAGAATATGCTGAAGGTCCATTTCAATTTTATGAGCAAGAATATCAAAGTTTGATCAAGTGGTCACTTATCAGAAAAGTTGCAAACAAAATGTTTCAACCAAAAAGGGCAGACTCATGTCCCTATTAATGATATAGATCTGTTAAAAGGTTCATAATGGCTACAGTTCCACAGACACTTTTAGTTGGTGCACTCAGCACTGCTACTGTAGTGAGTACTCCTGCCCCTTTCCTTGGGCCAGCACAAATATTTGTACAGTTAAGTGGTTTGGAGGAATTGACTGAAGTTGAACATCAGCCTTTTTTCACCCAGAGTAACAGATCTTCCCATCAGTTCTCTACACAGCTGAAGGAACAAACATGCAAGCAAAAAACCAAACCAGAATGTCAGAGCCTGGGGCTACCACTTCACAGAATGCAACGAAACACCAAAACACCAAGACTCTGCTCATAGCCCCATGCTCCTGTCACTTATATTGGTTCCAGCACTCCTAAGATTCCTGGATGGAATTTTTCATCAATAATGCAAATTTATCCTGGATTAAAGATACTGGATAAATGTGACTATGGTTGTACTGTTACAGCCAGTGACAGTCATGCAGTAAAAAAATGCCAGGTTAAAAATAAACACATCAGTTTCTCTCCCCTCTCTTTTGGAAATTGTACCCTTTTTTTGAAGAGACCCTCAGAAGGCTTTGGACCAAGACAGATCACACACAGCACACTAAGGTCATAGCAGACTTCATCAACAGTTCTCTTTCTTGCCTGGAGACTTGCTACCCAGCCCCAAAATCAGATATGCAGACTACACTTTCTAAAAATATGGGTTTACATTCTATTCTGCTCATTAACATTCTAGCATTACTAGAATTAAAATGGTGCTTCTTGGGTTTCTCTGCTCTCTTCTAGCTGCAAGATCTGTAAAAGGTAATGCTACAGGTACATCAGACTTGCTGGAAAAGCAAGCTAAAACTTATTACTTAACTCCTCAGGAAAATGAAATAGTAGGGGGAATTCTTTGGGAAGGCCATGGAACAAGACCTAGCACTTTACAGAGCACATCCTGTGAGATGCAAAGAATGTTGGAAACATTCTAGATCTGCAAAAGCTGTAAGTTGTCAAGTCCTTTAATTCTATATGTCTAAGAAGAAAGACTTCTTCCCTCACAGTAAGTATTCCTCCAGATTTGCACAAGTAGCATCCTTCAACATACAGTTTAGTTCCAGGGATGCTGGAGAAAAAGAATTCGAAACAAGATTTCAAGACTTATCTGCATCTGTTCCTGAATGTCTTATGAGTAGTGTATCAAAATCGGTGTAACAACACAGTACATACTGAAGAGCAGCTGGCTGTGATTTTGCTCAATTACCAAAAGACATATAAAACAGTTGCTTGACTAATTAAATTCTTAGATTGACTTCTACAATTTGGTGACAAGGGAAACTTTGAACTATGAGATCTGACCCCAAGCCAGATCATTTCGCTGTGACTGAATTTTACTTTTGAAAGAGTGAACAAAAAAATTATATACTAACCTTATTTGAAAATATACAGGCAAATTCCATTTGTTATTAAAGCTGTGGTAAGATGGGTGAGCTCTTAACCGTTTCACACTGGCCTGGGAGCCACACTGTCGTTCAAATTTCCGTACAAAATCCATACTAGTAGTGTACTTCTGCAGAAGGAGAACATTCTGATGTAAGCATTCTGATCACACACCGGATCCAGCAGACAAGGAAAGCCAGCACGCATCCAGCAGAACTCTTGTATTACACTACAGTTAATCACACTTCAGAATGGGCTGACACTAACCCCATCACCTAATCATATAAGGCTAAAATCCTGGATTGCAGTGAAACCAAAACCAATTAACTAGTAGTTCTTATACCATGATAAGAAAAGCCAGTGCAAGACACTTCTGAAAAGCATAAAATTGTCCAAGTACCCTGAATAAGCAGAACTCATCAGAGAGATGCATGAATATTTCTGAGCTCAGTTGCTGGAGTGGAACAACAGTGCTGTACAGTACTAAGAACAGCGTCAGTCACAGGAGATAATAGGCATACAACAAACAGAAATGATCAGGAATGAATCCCAAAGTAAACATAAACAAATAAACATGAGAATGAAAGCCTCTTTTTGTTATATGGGACCTGTATTATAGGCATTCCTAGACCTGTTTGTCTAAAACTATGTTTTGCAAATACCAAATATTTGCATAAGAACTTCAGTTTCAGATAAACTAACTTTATCCACTGTATGCTTATAATAAGATGTTTACGAATAGTGTTAAGTCAGTTGCAAGTAAAGACAGATTATATTAATACCCAAAGGCACTGTGGGTTTACTCTCAACAGTAACTAATTAACACCCTGAAAATAATGAAATAATAAATTAAATCACACACAAAGCAGAAAGCCAAGAACACAAAAGCTACGTAAATCAATTTAAAATCAAAATACAGCTAAAATCTGCCTCTGTGCAATGAAAACATTTGGCTTATGTGCAATTTTCTTTAAAAAAACACCCAAACCAACCAAAAGCAGCCCTAAAACCTATGGTACATGGTCAGTAAGCCAATGTGAATTAATGAAATAAGCCTGACTGAATCTCCTGGTGCTTCTGACTTCACTGCAGTAAAAGCAACAACAGGGCTGCAAGGCTATTCCCACAATCCAGAGCACTACATGAGTGATGTGATTTTGCTTCTTACAAAGCAGCAAAACATTCTCAGGAAAAGCTCCTGAGTTGCTGCTTACAGGTTCTGCTCTCAGAAACTCCTGTGGCTACACGACATGCGCTGACATGGGCTTTTGTGTTGTGTATGTCAGCAAGTTCCTAACTTTGTTAAAGGTATAATTTAAGCATATTTTTCTTGTGAACATGGCAGTTTCAGTGTGTTAAGACAGTTCAGTGCGTCAAGACAGTATTCTGAAAATTGCACACAAAAGCTTTTCTCCCAAAGTGGTTGTATTTATAACACAATGGAACCATAAAAGATATGGGAGTTAAATCCAGAATGAATGACAGATTAGTGCTCTTTCAGGCCTCCTTTCTTAGATATTAAACCCAGCAATGTAAAAAGGCAAACAAACTGTTAATGCTCTGCTACCTTAAGTATTAGCCAACGATATAAACCAGAACACTCTTTAAAAGACCTATCACGCATGTTCAAAATAGAAGACAACTCAAGAGACATTTATCTAGTTATTGATAACATTATATCCAAGAGAGGGAACTAACTGCAGGACTCATTCCCATTTCAGCTTTTAGGATAGAACTGTTGACTTCAAGAGAAGCTAAAGTGGGAAACAAAATGGAGCAATTTTCAAACAGAGGAATCTAAACTTAAACAATCTCAAATTAATGTTTAGGGATAAAAGAAGTATTATTTTCACATACCCTGTGGATCTACAAATCTGACCCAGAAATAAGGGCATAACAACATGAAACAATTTTAAGAAAAACTCTACATAAGTAAATGGTGCATATATTTTAACATACATGCTTACGCTGCCAGTCCAATTTTTACAGGTTTTAAAAAATGTGTTTTTCTATTCCCCTTCTCTACATCTAAAAGCCTCCTAAAAGATAAAACTGCATATTCAAACCTTTCAGAATTAACTCTCTCTATATATATACACACATATGCAAACAAACCTGGAAAAAATACACTTACTGTCTCAAACCTGTGTTGCATTACTTGGCTTATCAGCTGTGCAGAAACTATTTTAATGGTTGTTTTTCCCCCTCTTATTTCAGAACTACCAGTGTTTAGACATTTTTACACTTGACATGTCAACTTCTTATCGATTTTTAGGTAAAAAATTTTAATGATTTCGATTCTGAGTCACTTAGGTAGTCAAAAGCAGTTTGGAAACTACTTTAGACCTACTACATGGTTTACTTGAAAGTCATATGGGGATGCTGGGGTTTTATGTTTGTTGTGAGCCAGCATGGCTCACAATTTGCAGTATGCAGGGCATTAGGGGAAAGCTTGAAGAGTGACTGAAACTGTACGGGAAACATAGTATTCTCACCAGCAGGGGTGTCATTTGCATGGCATTACCACAGCTTTCTTCAACATTATTTCATTTGCTTCTTACTCAGAGCCTGCCCTGCACACTGTCGTGCCTACCTGCCTTCAATTATTCAACATATCTGTATGAAAAAGATTTTAAATTCCAAGACAAATATAAGTATTTAGGTAAAAGCAGTTTTGCACAAACACAGGAAGAATCATCAGAAACCTTCAAGAGCAATCTAATATTTCTCTAAGTCATCTGTTCTGATCTGCCTTCTTTGCCTTCCTTCACACAGCTTTTTCACTGCCTGCCATCTCCATCTTGAAAATAAAAGGTTTCACACTAATCATGAGTCAAGCTGCAAATTAAAAAAAGGAAAAAAAAATCATATTTCAGCAATCCTGGTTAAATACAGACAGACAGGACATGAAGAAGAGCATAAAGCTCCTATTTTCTGCTTGTGACATACTAATCAAGCACTGCCAGAGCCAATTGTCATGCTAGACCAAGAAATCTGTTTCAACATTAGTAAAAGATGATCTTTTAGAGTCAGAGAAGCACAGCCAATGATGAAAATACAAGAGTGACAAGTAGTTTAAATTAATTTTATAATGTAAGCTGGTCATGATTAATTGTGACACCAGAGAAAATACCTCTTTTATGTTCTAAACCTGATCATGCTTCCTCCAAATATTTTTGTTTCTATTAGTTGACTTGTGTTTCTAATCACAACATAATCTGCAGTACTGAAAGAGAGCAAAAACTAAAACAAGCAAGTGAAACCATTTTTTAAGCCAACTACAGTACAGAGCAAGCTGTAACTCAGTTATTGAATTACCCTGACAGCCTTTTCTATACAGAAGTGGTAGTCTTGGGCAAACACTGGAGTTGTCCCCTCCCACCTTCACTTATGCTGCAATACTACAACTAAGAAGGAACATCTACTCCTAAAACAAATGCTAAGACCAAATTCACATGATCAATGTCTTCAAATAACTTCTGTATGAGCTTTTCTGACAAACTTGAGGGGAGAATTCATTTCTATGAAAATTAAATCAAGTGATTTGAGATAACCTCATGCAACAACATGAATTTACACAAAAGCAGCAAGGAAAAAAACCCTAGAGAACATAACTCATTCAATTCTTGTATATGTCAAAGGAATCACAAACGGAAAAAAAAATAATTACCTCATGAAACATGTCTGGGTTTCCAGGGTTAAACAGTGATGGTAATTTCTCTTCTAAACCATGTACTATTTCTGGCCACACTGAATTCACTAAGAAATCATATCCAGGAACAATATCTGCTTTTTCGCTGAAATAAAATTGCAATTATTTCACGGTTATATTTTACCATCTGCCTTCTATGTGAAGGTAGGATTAACTAAAAAGACATGCACTGCATTAGATGAGATGCAATTAAGTTTTTCTATGTAGGTATGCCAATTCACTTAAATTATTCTTCCTTTGATGTTTCCTATCCAATCCCACAGTCTCAGCAAATGCAAGGTATTTTTTATAACTCTCAAAGTGTTTAAAATCTTATCAGTTATGTATTTTGCAAGTGTGTTCTGGAAGATGATTACATTTCAGATGAAAACTCCTATTCAAGTTTTAACAACTCCAAAGAGGTACCAAGTACTATGCAATGCAACTATTGCAATGCAACTATTGCAATGGAAAAAAGCAGAACTTCTTCATAATTGTTCCACTCTGTATTTATACATGACATTGTGCTTCAAAGCAAAAGATTAAAAGCTACCTTGATTAGGAAAATCTATAAATTCAGAGCAGAAGAGATACAAGCATTTAATTCTAGTTCAGTACATCACAGTACAAAGCAGAAACATTCCATTATTAAGAAGAAAGATTACAACTTGCTGAGGGATTAAAAGAATTGAAATGTTAGTAAAACTTAAGAGTCATAAAAAGCTCAGCAATGGATGACTAATTAGAAAAAGTAATTCTGCAGTCCCTAGAGGCTACATCCATAGTTCTGCTAATTACAGCAGTCTACTATATAAACCAGCCTGCAAACAGATGAATAAATTGATACAATTCAGTAGACCTGAATTATTTAAACCTCAAAACAGCCAATTTAATTGCATAAGGAATTAAGCACTTTTAGAGAAGACACTGAAAGCACAGATCAATTAAACCTGTAGTTCTAGTACATGTGAAAAATCAGCAACCTCTGGGGGTCATCCCCACTTTTCTGATGTGCACCAACAACCCAGTAACATTTGAACTTATGTTTTTTAATAGCTTTATTATGCCCTTCTCCTTGGATGAAGTGTACAATAATATTTCATGGACTCAAAAAAAACCAAGGTATCTGACATATTGTATTATGAACAGTACTAAATTCTACTACTGAAACAAAGTATTCTCCTTCCCTCCTCTGAAGGTCTGGGCCACAGCACCCAGAAAGTCTGTTCAGTGTTCTGTTTTGGCAAAAAAAACACAGATGTGAGCCAGAAATCAAACCTGATTATGAACCTTCAGGAAAGGCCAGATAGGTGGCTTGCACATCAAAGCTACTTATGCACAGCATTTTGAAAGTGTATGATAGTTGCTGTAACTTTAGTGCAATCAAAAGAAACCACAAGATACTTACCTCGAAATAGCTCCCCCTGTTACTTCACGCAAGAGACGGCAATGATGAGGAACAAACTCCAATAGTCTATTGTACATAGACTGAAGGCCATTAGGATGAGATTGAACGTGCTGTTCCACAATCACCTGCCAGGAAGAGTTCAATGTTAAATGCCAGAAAAGTGAATATAAAATACTGTAATGCAAGACTCAGTCTACTCCCTCAAAACTCCTACCACTATAACCCAAACATAGGGATAGTGAGTATATTACATTTTTATATTACAGTTTCCAAGTATAACTTGCCATCTTGAATTATTACTTCCTTTAATGCAGCACTCTAGCTGGGAAGATTGGCCCCAAAAATGGGAATGAGCTCCTGGCTTTTAAATGTCAGTCTGGCTCCCCACCCACTTCACACACCACTGACACCTGAAGCAGTTAAATTAAATGGATGACTGGGAAATTAAATGGATGACTGGGAAAATCTAATCAAACCCCAGAATAAAGTCATAAATCTCTTCTAAATTTAGAGGTTGTTGATTCAATCCCAAATGCACGTAAACCAATAGCCAAGAATCTTTTGTGAAAATGCTAAGCCTTTAATGCAGCTAGCAAAGTTGTCTGCCTGGACTGTACCCCATATCCAGAGAAAACAGACAATTGCTGCCATAAAGAGAAGGCAGACAGTAGTTGGACAATACAAGAAGAGAACAATAGCTTGTATTTCTTAGTATTCTTCTACCTGTCTGAATGCTTTTGCCTCTAACTACATAAAGAAGCAGAATGTTGCAGAAGTGGGGAAAGAACAAGTCCTGAGAAAACTGAGGGGGGAAGATGTAACCTGTCCCCCACTAGAGCAGATGCTACAGCATTAGCAAGCACCCAAAGGAAGTTTGTCCTTAAAGGGAGGGCAACCACCAGTTGACTCGCTCTCCCATCCAAAGCCAGGAGCTAGTTTTGCTTTGTAAATCTGTATGCATACAAAACAAAATCAGGAAAATTTTAAATGTTTCATTCACAGAGGCAGAAAAGAAACATCCTACTGACAATGACATACAGCTTGGGTGGCATCAGACATACTGTTTTTTCACAGGGAACAGATAGAAACTGTAGAAACTGTGTCTTCAGACAATGGGAAGAAAAGGACATTGCACTAAGAACTATTTTTGCTGCATTTGCTTGCTACTGAGCCAGCCATGGAGAAAGGCAAAGGTCCAATTCCCACAGATGCACCCTGGTCCAGAATAAATTGGATTTTTCTGCAGTCATATGCTTGGTTTAAGGTTCGTTTTTTGGGCTCCTTGGCCCATAAAAAAAAAAAACAAAACCACAGGAAAGAAAGAGAATCCCTTTTTTCTTAAATAGCAACAACAAATTGACATTGTGTTGGGGCTCAGTTCTTCTGCTGTCTCCACAAAGGCACTTTGAAGCTGATGAGGAAAGCTAGAGTTTAACAGGAAAAATAATCATGTTTGCAAATCAATTAATTTTCTTAGGATTCATGATTTTATCTTACCTCATCTATATAAGGTTTTACAAGCACTTGACCAACTAAAGCCTCTGCATCCCGTGTTTTGTCAATTGTTGCATAAGTGCGAAGACAGTGACGTATTATGTCAACATTTGAAGTCTGAAGGCCCTCCAAGAGCAGCCCTTCCAGAGACTGCTGCAACATAGCTGTTATTCCAGCTATACGCTATGAAGAGAAACAAATACAGTAATAAACAAGCCTTGTCATTATTGCTGAAGTAAATTCTTCCAGAAATACCTGTTTGCTATTTTCATTTGAAAGGTGCACAAGTTTTAAGTGTCAACAATAAATGAACATTAACACAAGCTCAGTGGGTTACTGATACTATTTAACACAGTATTTATTAGAATAAGGTTAAAAGGCAAGTATTTTCCTCTGTATGTTGTAAATTATGTATTATCTAAGGTCCCCTTTATCCTGCAAACTTGATAACT